TGTTCAGCTACACAAAAGAGTTTGGCCTGCTGCTCAACGTGAATCGCTGTTCTGGTCGAATGTCCGGTACCTTCCGGACCAGAAACGTGCGGATGCGCTGGATTTGTACATGGTTTGTAATCACAATTGCAGTCGGCCAGATGTTCCGGTTGGTTTCTCTGAAGTGCTTTAAATAATATTCAATAACGTCTTATTCAATAACTTAATATTCAATGACGTCCGGAAAGCTGTAAACAAAGGAGCTAGAGAAGATTGTTGAGTGGGAAATGTACGTAAACCGTTTGTCATGTAGAAGGATTATGTGAAGAGATGTAAAGGAAACCTATTTTTCTGGCCGCTTCAACAGTCCGAAAATGACCTTTTTTCTTTTTATGTTTTACTCTCTGGAATTTTTGAGAAATAAGGACATTTTTTGCTATGTTCTGTACGTGCGCAAGTGTGCAGAGCATCTCCAGATTTTTGCAGTCAAACTCTTTTCATGATACTAAATTTTGGGTCGTCACTACTGATAGGGAACATTTTCAGCTGCTGAACTGTTCCAATGTTCGAGTAGGTATTACAGTGGCAATGTTGTGCGAAACAGTGGTAAAGAAAGGACGAGGCTCAAAAACAATGAAAGAGCTAACACGTAGCGATGTACAGTGTAGAATATGCTATTGCGCTCAAGGTATCATTTTTTTTTTGGCTTTTTTAGGTCCAAATTTTCTCTTTCCCTTCCTTGCCCTCCAAAATTTTCTGACATTTACTTTGCGCTGCAGGTAATTTCGTTCACTTTACGCTACAGGCTAGTACTGCCCGTGCTGGTCTTTACCCTTCACTGAATTGGCCGTGCCGTTGTTTCAGTCCGTTAGCTTATTAACCTTTTCCTGTTGCTCATGGGGCCTTTACGACCCGTACTGCCTTCTACTTCTACTCTATGATACAGAAAACAGGACAGCCCGGACACTAACACTGTCGGATTCCCGGCATACTGCGGGAGCAGCAGTGCCGAGTCTTCAGACCTTCAGAGCGTTGATCATTTGATTTGCGCCTATGATCGAATGGCTTTGCTTCAAGCAAGAGCTCAACTTCTTATTTTAATACACCAAGCTCAAGAACACAACGTTAACGTAACTCAATGATACACGTAACTCAACCTCAAAGCCCAAGCACTCCAAAGAATACTGCAGTTGTCCGGCTCCCGACATTCGCAAGCAATCTTCTTATCCTCGCTCAATCCGCCCTGTGAAGTCGTAGCCTTCTCCTAGTAACCGCCGTATCCCAGCGCCGCCCTGTTCTAGGAATAACTGCTTTCCTACCCCAGAAGTTCTTACTCCTTCTCCCTCATTATGATCCCTTTTTGCATATTTTTTACATTCACACAAAAGAACAAAATGAAACAAAATTTTAGAATAAATTTTATCTATCATTTTTCGTGTTTTGACACGACACAGGGCTTCATACCTTTAGCTGTATCCATCTCCTGCTCTACATATATGCGCTAGCTCTTCGGAGGCTCCACAAGCAGTGTGGTGGCAGACCGAGATAGAACAGTGGCTTGTTTGTTATGTTCTGATTTAGCGTAATATAAGTGATGGATTTCAGTGGATCCAGGTGGCTGGGTGCCGGCATCTGCGTTGCGAATTATTTACAAGAGGGAATATCCGAAATTTCTACGCGGTTTTACGAAATATGTATTGGCTCATGTTAATTCTCATCCATTAATCATCTAAACGATTTGGCCTGTTGTTGATGAAACCGCTCATATTCTTCCAGTTTTTTTTTAATCCTCTCTGATTCATTGATCAGTCTTACGGGTTTTCGCGCTATTTTATGAATTCATTGTTTTTGATCAAAGCCAAGCACCTGTGGCTGTTTAACTGCCTGTTGCTTTTTGTGCCAACACACTTTAATCCCTCCCATTACATGGCGTAATTCAATGTAACAATGTTCTCTAGCCTTCACCTCTTTCGAATTATTGGTCTGCTGCCACCGGCCGAACCATTCTTTTTAATTTGTATTTCCTAACCCCTCCCCTCCCCCCACTTCTCTGCCCTTGGTTATTCATATGATGCTGGTAGGGTCCTCCACGGCCCGTACTGTCTTCCACTGGCACAGGTTCCTTATCGGAGAAGAGGAATATTGGCGTAGAATCGCAGTACTCAAAAATAGACGATTACTAACAGAATTTTTTCCTAAACTTTTGCCAACAACAAACACCGGTAAATCTAATTTTATTTGAAAAAGCAGCTCCTCCGTGATTCCAGTAACGGTTAGTTATCATATCCGTGCATTTTTATTGCTTGCTTCTAATGTAATTATTCGCGTTAACAGTTTAGAAATAACATGATGATCTTCCATAATACCTCCAAAATGCGGGTTAAAGGAGAGCACGAGATAAGAGATTCTGTAAAAAAAATGAGGTAAGGGAACGAGCAAAGAGATAGGCGGAAGGAAGCGGGAGGTAAGTAATCACAAAAAAAAACTCAAGATCTGTGAACTGTGTGGTGGCAGGCCTTAAGATTTTTACCCTTTTATCAACTTATATGATTTGAGATATAGCGAAGATTTCAACTACTGAGAGAGCTTGGAAGTCGTGTGTTCCAGAAATAATCTATCTGGAATAGCAGATTTGGCATCATGTGGCGGCGCTGGATGCACAAAATGTTCTTTTTAAGGTGGAAGAGAAAGTGCCAAAAAAAAAAGAGGAGAAGGGTTTCTTACCGAAACATTTCTTACCTATTACAGATATTTTCTTAGGCCCCTTCCGCATCTAGGTAGATCTAGTTAGATGCGAAAGGGGTTTGAGAAAATATTTGTAATAGGCAAGAAATGTTTCGGTCC